TGTGGCCTGAACCGGACCGGGCTGCCAAGACAGACCTCCCGCCCCACCCCTGCAAGCACTCACCCCCACACTGCCCGTTTGCACCTGTGCGCGCGCTCCAGTACGCCTGTGCAAGTGCTGTGCCTCTGTTTGCACATGTGCACAAGGTGCGTGCACCTGTGTGAGAGAGCAATTAGTGTTGTGGTACCCAACCTCCAGTCTGTGGCCTGAACCGGACCGGGCTGCCAAGACAGACCTCCCGCCCCACCCCTGCAAGCACTCACCCCCACACTGCCCGTTTGCACCTGTGCGCGCGCTCCAGTACGCCTGTGCAAGTGCTGTGCCTCTGTTTGCACATGTGCACAAGGTGCATGCACCTGTGCGAGAGAGCACACTTGTTTGTGCATGCGCATGAGCGCAGGGGGTACCCTGCAGCACGGGGGGGGTACCCTGCCTTCCCCAGCTGGTCCACTGCCCAAAAAAGATTGCGGACCGCTGCCTTAAAGGCTGACAGATGTATTATGATCCATAATGTTTATGGACTAGATTCCTTATTATTGTATAAAATGTTATTCTCAGTTGGTGCTTGTGGATACGTGGAGGTAGAGGTAGAAAGTGTGGTGAGGTAAGATAGAAATATAATGGGTACCCTGCCTTCCCCAGCTGGTCCACTGCCCAAAAAAGATTGCGGACCGCTGCCTTAAAGGCTGACAGATGTATTATGATCCATAATGTTTATGGACTAGATTCCTTATTATTGTATAAAATGTTATTCTCAGTTGGTGCTTGTGGATACGTGGAGGTAGAGGTAGAAAGTGTGGTGAGGTAAGATAGAAATATAATCTGTGACAATCATGTTAAAATGTAGAAGCATGACAAATAAACATAGTGACTATTCATTACTGGGTTGTTTATGTTATCTCTGATTATTGTTGTCATATATATTGTTGTCAACCTACTTCCTTTGCAATGTGTCACAGAATATTTTTTTTTCCATTTACTTGCTTGTATTTTATTTCCATTTGACCTCACTGTTTACACTTTCCTTGCTTTAGTTCCACAAAAGCTTATGCCATAATACCTTTGTTAGTCTGTCAGGTGCCTGAAAACTCTTTCATTGTTGTTGTTGTTATATAAAGCAGATAAGTTGTTGTTGTTGTTGTTGTTGTTATATAAAGCAGATAATAGAAACACTTGTATGAAACAAATGTTTCATCTCCGTTGCCCCCAATATCAAAATCTTTCATTTTCCCCATTGGCCAGAGATTTGTGGCACATGTAGCTCTTTCTCTGGGGCATTTAGGATCTAACATAGTCACAGCCCCAGTTTTTCATCAGAGAATCTGTGCTGGGAGCAAAACTGGGTACTTAGTGGTGCAAGTGTGAATCAGGTAGTAGTATATACTGTATTCCTTGGTGGGAGCCCCAGTTTTTCATCAGAGAATCTGTGCAAGGAGCAAAACTGGGTACTGAGTGATGCAAGTGTGAGTCAGGTAGTAGTATACAGTATACTGTATTCCTTGGTGGATATGAAACTAAGTCCCACATGGCTTTTTCTCCTTTCCAACATGGAGCCAACCGCTAACAGCAGCAATTCTTCATAATAGTCAAACACCAGAAGTCTGTATGAAGAAAATTCCAGGTTTCTGTGGGGGTGGTTTTCCTGTATGGGTGTATATAAATGTAGCATCATTGCCTTCTGTGTCTTCATTATTGGGTCTGAATATTAAAGGTCAAAGTGTATATTACAGATAACCTGTTGTTGTTGCTTGAATTTCTGTGGACAAGTGGGGATCTGAACTCAAATCTCCTGAGTCCTAGAACAACATTCTATCCTCTACACTGCATTGCTTCTCAACCTGCCATTAGAAGAGGGGATTCCCTGTGTGCTCATTGTGCATGAATGTCACGGGCGTTTTTCTCACATCTCACAGTTTAGGGATTAGCTTTAATTTATGGTTGGCCTTCAGAAACTAAATTTGCAAGTCTGATTTCTCAGACGTGAAAGCCTGCCTCCTGAACTCAAACTTATTTCAGCTGTAATAAATGTTGTAATACCTAGTTTTCCTCCTAGATGCCAGTGCCCTGAGTGATACTTTGATGCTGCCTTGTGCAACGTTTCAACATTGCTAAGTATTTACATGAACCCAGGGAAGAGTTACTAGGAATGATGATGATGATGATGATGATGATGATGATGATGATGATGATGATGATGATGATGATGATGATGATGATGATGATAGTGTGCTGTCAAGTCAATTCTAACTTATGGCAACCCTTTTCAGGGTTTTCCAGGTAAAGAATACTCAGAAGTGGTTTATCGTTGCCTTCTCTTGGGAACATCCTGGGACTGTGCAGCTTGCCCAAGGCCACACAGGCTGGCTCTTCTGAGATGCAGAGTGGGGAACTGCACTCCCAACCACCAGCTCCATGGCCAGATGCCTGGCTCACTGAGCTATCCAGCCAGCTGTTGTGAGCTGTCAAGTCTACTGATACTTAATCTGGCCATAGGGTTCACCAATCCCATTGGGTTGTAACTAGATTTAATAATTTGCAGCTCAGCTAACAGATGCAGAGTTCTCTGGCTATTCGTCTTCACAGCAGCCCCTCCAGTTCCCTGAAAATGCTGTGCAGAAAATCTGGAGGGCATGAACTCTGATGCAGCAGAATCCTCAAATCAGGGCAGCTCCTGGATTGAATCTGTTGGTTTGGACCTTAAATTTCCCTTCTTTCCTGTACAGGAGGATAGGCTTTACCAACAACTCTTCCATCTGCTTCATACATTCCTGAACCTGAAGGAATAGTCTTTTTGCAGGGAGAAGGGTGGAGGCATGACAGGCATGAGCTGTGTTCCCTTCATCGGAAGAAAGATAGGCTCCAAGCCAGTGTATTGTTCAGTGCTATTTAAGAAATATTTGTTTTTGTATGGCTGAATTGCATATTAATCTGCTTTTCCCTTATTAGTTCATTATAATTATAGTGGTGGTGGAAAAATCCACACTTCAATGTCAGAAGTGCTAGAACTTGGGAGGTGAAGTAGTTTTTGCCTACTTCTGCTTTTTCTTCCTTCCCTATCTATTTTCAAGGCATAATTGACAAGCAACCATGTCAATTTTCAGCAAGGGGAAGCTGGTCCCTAGCTGATGAGTGGAGACAGGTTTATTGCTTTACAGTTCAGAATGTTATTATATCCACATTTTCGTTGCAATTGGGCTGCTTTTCTTTTGCACTTGGAGAGCTTTGAAGTGTTGGCTCTGGATTAAAAGCATGAAGGTTTGAATTGCTTCTGGGTTTATCCTAAACTGACTATTTGATAGAAACTTGTTTTGCTAAGCACGAATTTTGTAGTGGGCTGGCTGGATTCACATGAGTCCAACACCTGCCCTTATTTTATTTTGCAATATGTTTGATGAGAGGAGAGAGACTAGAGGAGATTTTCTGCTGCTTTCCTTTTAAAATGCTTTAGCCTTCTGGATTGCCGGATTTGCTGTACCATTCTCCTTATGTTGTGATATATTATAATTGATGAAATTCTGATGATAAATAAGCCTTAGACCATTATGACCTCTTCTGTTGACTGTCTGCGGTTAACAGTCCCAGACAGAAAATTCTCCAGTGAGTATATCATTTAACTTTCTGTTAGTTTTATAGCACTGCCTTACCTATTGGTGCTGTAGTTTCAAAAGTCAGATGTGTTCCAGGTGCATTTTTCCTTCTGGGTTTTCCAAAAGATGATGGGTATTGGGGGAGGAAGGACAAGTGAATCCTGCTCCTAGATGTGTATGGTTAAGTCAAGATTCTACTCAAGTACAGAGTACAAAATTTTTAAATGGGAGGGGATATAGATCAAGTCTCAGATATTATGCCAATACATTGTAAGAGTTGCAGGAGAGGAAGCACAAATAGTGAAATATATGTTTCTGGTGTAAACATGCCTCTTCCTCATAGAGCCTTGTATGCATGCATGTGGAAACTTATACATCTCACCAGCAAAAAGATGTTCCTCCTCTCTGCCTCAGAACTTTCATTGAATACATCATTGTGGATTATTGTGTTTTTCTTCCTCCAATCTTTCCTGTGAATTACACAGTGTCTGTAGCATTTTCTCTCCTCTGGCCCTCACAATATGTGAAACTATGACTACAACTAGTCTGAGAAAATGGAAGGCTTTTGCAGTGGTTTTTGATTAGAGTACAACTAGTCTGAGAAAATGGAAGGCTTTTGAGGTGGTTTTTGATTAGAAGAACACAGTCCACTCTGCCTATAGAGGAGGGGGGACATAGTCCTAGGTAACCTTTGATCATAACTTCCCAGCAGTTTGGGAGCAAAAATCTAGGATCCCATTCAGAAGAATGACCAAGAAAGCCCACAAATGCAGTAGGGCAAATGTTAAGTGAAGTAAAGAGAGCAATGTAAGCATCGTGATAAGACCGGAGTTCAAAACTCCCTACCTTCTGTTGGTTCACCAGATACTAAGATCACATGCTTAAAAAAATTATTTCTAACCATTCTTCCTTGAGGTGGCATTGGCATTTATGTGAATCACACTTTGCCTCCATCCTCTTCATTTTGTCTCAGAAAGTGATTTAATAAGAGTGACACATAACATTTACACAATCTAGAAGGCACCCAGGCCTTCTAGACAGCTTATTTGTAATGGTGTCTTCTGTTGCTGTGTCCCCGAAGTGTTCACTCCCTCTCTGCCCCCAAGCGTTCCTTCCCATAGAGAGGTTTTCCTTTTGCATAACAGATATTGATTTAGACAACCCATGCATGTGATCACTCTAAACTCATTAGAGGTTATTTCTCAGGCCTTAATTATCCCTTCCCACACATAGACACACAAGAGAGGGAAAATGTTAAGGCAAATTATCTGTAGCTTGAAAGCCATAAGCAGCATGCTGAGTCATCCTCTCACAAGAGAGAGATTTGTCAGCCCTGAAGTTAACCTTGTCTTGAAATCCTTGGGAAAATGCCTCCTCTGACAGATCTGCAGACTGTCAACAAGAAGATCCTACCTCTGCTCTGCTACTCTGTGGGAAGCCCTGATATCCATGATTCCAAAATCGCATTCTTGTCCAGTGTCTGGCTTCCTGCGGAAAAGGAGATGTATGACAAAGAATATAGCACTAAAACTGTCAACATCCCACTGTTATGGGACCTTTTCTAACAAAACATATCAAGCTTTTGCTTCTTAGTTAATATGTGATCATTTGTTGGCTGTCCATTGGGATGGTTGCCTGATCACCCAAGGCTAGCGCTGTTCCCAAGGTTGCACCCTCAGTAAACTATTTACTAATGCAACTGGGCTTTTTTTGTTACTGGTTTCTCTTAGGATATATGAATTAAATCACTTACAGGAACAAACCTACCCTACTGCACAGTGATGAGGGTGATTTGGGGCATCATGGAAGTGTACCAAGTTATTATTTAGGTTGTTATTGTTGTATCTTTGCTGCCAGGAATGAAAAAATATTGAAATGTTTGCCTCATTTTTCAAGAGTTACTTGGCTGGCTTTAGATACTGGGCACTTTCCTAGATGGCTGAGGCTGAGTGCTGTTCATTTCTGTGCCTCACACAGCAATGTGCCTTTGGCCATCCCTGTTCAATGATCCCTTTGTTGTCATATTGTCAGAAGCTGATCTTCAGAACACCAGCTTTCTATCTTCAGATTTCTCATCACATGCTATTGCAGTCTGACTCAAATTAAATTAGTGAAGGAGGAACAGTAATAATAATGAGCATAGTTTGATTTATAAGGGTGCCAAATATCTACTGTGAAGTAGAGAGCTGCTGCCAGTCAGCATCAGTGTTACTGAGATAGATGGACAAAAGGTCTGACTCACTACAAGGCAGCTTCCTAGCTGTACTGTAATTGTTCCCTGACCTCCTGATTAATTTTATTTGTTTGGTTTCTGTCCCACCTTTCTTCAAAAAGTAGGACTCAAGACAGGTCAAGATATGGAAGACCCTTTACCATCTGATCAGTTCCTTTCTCCCCCCCCCAGCCCTAAAATAAACAGGTGCTGACTTTTTGCTTCAGCATTAAACTTTCACCGTATCTCCTAGTCCAAGCAGACCTTTATTAAAGATTGATATCTTTATGTTTAAAATATATTCAGCATGTTGTATTTCTCTTCCAGCCTAGCCTTTAATAACTGTGTTTCTGTGGGTATTGTATCTAAATGAATATTCATGAGTTTGAAATCTTATGCTTTCTGAAGAGTAGAGAAAAAAATGATGAAGTACCTACAACTTAATTTCCACCTTGAAAAGCACTGACAATCAGTGGCTCTGCCATTCCAGTTTTTGTTTTGAAGGGATATTTTATTCCCCTCATACTGCATTCCACAGACTCATCTTGTTCCTGTACATTTAATGGCACTGATAGGAGTGATTCATTCAACCATCCTCTTGCTTATGAGACACCTGATTTTCCTCTTGTACATCATACACACGTTTTTTATTATCTACCAGATTAAACATTCCTTGTCGTCAGCCTCTTGCTGTGGGTATTGGAGCTTTCTTTGTCAGTGAGCAGCTATATTCTTGAGATCAAAATCACAGTATTTGCTGCCAGTTTGACGCTATGTAGACTTTCATTTCAGATGAGACACAAGTCTGTTTGCCTCTAAATAATGAGCTGACATCTTTGCCTGAAAACTTCAATAAAACAAACCATGTCACTTGAGTACCCCTGCTCCTTATAGAATCTTCTTTGTTGGTCCTCCCTCGAGATGGTCTTGTAAAATCAGTAAAGCACAATACAATTTGTTGTGAATCTTTCAGCTCCTGCACTTCCATGGGCAGAATATTAATCAGAATAACTAAAAAGATGCAGCTTTTGCTCAGCTCTTTTAATGAAGGACAGAACTGTGATTGCTTAGCCAAATCTCGCGCACCTAAATAAACCAAAAAGTGCACTTTCAGGTGACCGGAACAGCCAAAGTTTGGGAGGAGAAGAGGGCATTTTTACAGGAGGAAAAACTTTTCAATGAGAAAATCATTCTCTTTGTTTCCTATCTAAAAAGCATTTCTTCCAGGGATGATCAGTGCAATAAAGATGCTGTTTTCCCCTCTAGTGTACAAACAATAGCTTTGCCTATGACTGAGAGATATTCTGGTTTTAGGAGAAGCATTATTTGGATATTACAGTAGTAGCTCATTCTCGGTCAGTATAATCTGGATGATTACATAGGCTGAGGAGTGGAGGGAGGAGCCAAAAGCCTAAGGTTGCTCACAGGATGGAGAAACACTCCCACAGATTTTTCATGTGCTGTCATTCATGGGGTTAATTTTTTAAAAAAATAAAGTCATTCAGTGATTTGAACCATGGAAAAGTGAACTCAAGAGTCAAACTGAGCTGCTGGTGCCAAGGGAGAAGCCAAATGACAGCTGAACCTCTGCATAAAACCCAAGATCTCTCCTAGACTCTGCTGCAACCACAGAACCACTGTGGAGGGCTCAGACAATGGTCAATATACAGTATATATCCCCTTGTAGCCACTCTATTTTTGCAGAGCTGTGGAGCCCGAAGACAGACTTGGGGTGCTGCATAGGTAACCATATTTGCATTGTGAAATATTCTTTTTCTTTGTTTTCTCACTCAGTTTACTGAACTGTCATTACATAATTGTTATATCCTATTAGGGTGGAATGTGTGTATGATTGCGGAAGGATGATTGGTTCTGTGGGTTTCAAGTGAACATATCGCATAATTAGGATGCTACATAGCCCCAGCCCCAGTCATACCTGTTTTGGTTTTTCCCCATTTATGGGAATGGCTTAAAGTGGAAGGACCCAAAGATCCAGAAACACAGAGGCAACGTAACAGACTGGGGACTCTCAACTCCAACACCATTTTATGGAGCTGTAGGGCAAAGTGAAAGACATGTGTTGTCATTGCTAACTAGAAATCACATTCTAGAACTTTCTTATCTAAAGTAGTAAGTTTTTTTTTTACTATTATGACTGGGTTTTACTGTGCTGAATGCCTCTATTCCTCTTGTATGGGTTTTGAGTGGCTGGGTCAAAATTAGTACTTTCCGTTTGTCTTTTGTTACTTGCCTTTCCTTCATCTTATTACTTTTTGTAATAGTTGTGCAAATACCACTTTTGTCCATTTCCCTTCTTCAAAATAAAGTCACTTTTGTGGACATTCTTCTGGAGCAAATTACATCAAACTGGAAATGGGAAAAAATGTTAATTGATTAAACCTTCATTTTATAGTCAGACCTCAAACTGCCTGCGAAACCAAAACAAGCATCCAGCAGTTGAAATGTGCTCTTTATATATGCTACCCCATTATTGTTGGAACCCTAACATTAGGTTAACTGAGGCACTTGCCTCAAAGTAGTGCAGGAGATGCTGAATGTATCATCCTTTTCCTCCACAACTGCTCCCCAGTAAGGCCTGCCCTCCTCTAGAGAGCTCTTGCTATTATTGGATCTTTAGAACCAACTATTTTTCGTCTGTTCATCCCAAACCTCATGCACACAATAAACGCTTCTTCACTCATGTACAACTACTAAGCAGATGTGGCCACAGCCACAGGGGGCGAAACCAGCAGCTGCAGCAGCAGTGGCAGAAACACAGGCACACTAGAGGACAGGCTTTTTTTTTAATTACCCTGATTGCCTGGGTCCAAGGCAGAGGGGGCAAAAACACTGTGAGCAGAGAAGAAAACGGACCTTGAAGATGTAAATGTGACGCCAGCAAAACAAAATAATTTCATCTTTCCTAGGTAAGGAAAGATGAAATTGAGGATTCTCAGAGTTTGCATCTGGTGTTACTGCCTCTTCCTCTACAAAATGGGGGGGGGGAGAGTCATCCTCTAATACTGTTAAGTCTCGTTTACTTTGCTGCCACTTTCCTCTTTTATCTGTTATCATTTTTTTCTGCATTTCCTTGCTGGTTGTCAGGTGTGTCTGGACGTTTGCACTGAGTGGGAGGGGCACTGTGCAGAAGGACAGTGTCACAGGATACAGTGGACCCTCGACTTACAGACGGCTCGACTTACAGACTTTTTGAGTTACAGACTTCTCTGGCCGCAAAATTTAGATTCAATTTGCAGCCGGAGAATCAACTTACAGACCAGAAAAAATAATACTGTTAAGTCTCGTTTACTTTGCTGCCACTTTCCTCTTTTATCTGTTATTTTTTCTGCATTTCCCTGCTGGTTGTCAGGTGTGTCTGGACATTTGCGATGAGTGGGAGGGGCACTGTGCAGAAGGACAGTGTCACAGGATAGAAGGAGTAGGACTTTGCCTCCTGCTGGTACAGACTTTTCGATTTGCAGCCACCATTCCAATACGGATTAATTCCATAAGTAGAGGGTCCACTGTAGAAGGAGTAGCACTTTGCCTCCTGCTGTAGGCAGCAGTTGGGCTTGGGTTGCTCCCACCCCACTGCATATTTACAACACTCTTACAAGGTGGGTTTGAACCCTAAGCCTTCCAGTGAGCTCCATATTGGTTTGACTCCCAAGGTCAATCCACTTCTGTAAAAAGACTCTCGGAAATGTTGTCTCAGAGTTCCACAACTAATTGCGAATGGACTGAAAATTAAAAATTAAACACAGTGGAGGCTTCCTCCATGAATATGCCTTGAAAAGAAATTGATTAAACTGTTATAGATCAAAAGCATTTAAATCACTGCCTTTTTTTTACAAGTCCTTTTAATGGCTTGCTTGTCAGTTGCCTGTCAGTACCTCTTTTTAGAACATTTAAAATAACTGTGATACATACGTACTAGAGCTGCACAAGAAGCAGCATTGTGTTCCCAGTTTGAGCTAAGCACATCACATCTTCAGGCTTTTAAAACCAATGAACCAAAGCAGTGGTGCTCAAGTCAATGGAAGAAAAAAAAAACTTATGTTCTGAGAAAAGTCTAGATGGGGCAGGGGACTGGCATACAACACACACCCATGTCTCCCTTACCATTTTAAGTCTATGCTTCTGCAAGTGAATGCCTGCAGATGGCTTCTTTCTGTCTTCCATTTGAGAGCAAAACTGAATATTCAAGAAACATCCCCTGGAAATGGTAGTGTGAGATGTCATGAAACAGCTCTATGCTGACATTAACCTTTAGATTGTATCAGCAGTGCAGACTTGTGACAGGAACAATGCACTAATGAGCCAGAGGCTTATAAACAGCAAGGACCATCTTTGCTGAAGTCACAGCACTCATGACTTCATGAGAGAAGGCCCTGTGCAGATGCATCCTCACCTAGATGCATGAAATCAAGGAAGGCACAGTGATCTGCTACAATACATAATTAGGGTGTAATCACACAAAAAAGTCATTAGTCTGGTACTCTTGTTTCTTCACCAGTGGATAGACAAATTACTCAAAGAATGTTACTAGCTGGTATGATAAAGTCAGCCATTCCTCTGTGGTTCACATATTGCTTCATGTATTCAGAATATCTCTTCAAATCCATGATGAAAGTTCTATTGGGAATCATCTGCCAATCACCATTAATGTCTAATTGTTTCAGAAAGCCCTTTCAGTTTGCACCCATCACCACTTCTGATGGCATACAGAACAGCTCTGTTTAATAGATCTGCCTATAGTACAGATGAAAGACAGATGAGATGTGGTCGCTTTTTTGCAGTTAAGGACTCTAATGTTGACAGTAGACATGATTGCCTTTGAACCCACCTCTTGTAGGAACAGCAGAGAGAAGAGCTGTAACTCTTTCTGCTTCTAAGCAGACTCTTCTCTGGAGTATTGGAATGGGAGGAGCAACCATGAGTAGAAGAAAACACATTATTCATGCTAATGATCTGGGAAGACAATTTTTGCCTCAGTAGTTTTCCAATCAAGCAGTAACATGTCAGCAACCCATACATAGACAGGTGTTTTAGAATGGGGCAAATTTACAATAAGGCCTCCTCTGGCTGATTCTGTAATACTGTGTTAATGATTTGGCAAAGCTGAATGATATGAACAGTTTCCTCACAACATTATCTGATGTAAATTTGGATTTTGTTAACAATGTACAGTATGTTCAGCCTTGTTTTTCTTGCTTCTTTTGTCTCAAGGATTTATCCTCATTAGTGGTCCTTCTGCTTTAGCCAAAGTGCCCGTTTCCTAAAAGGTTTGTTTTTTCTTGCCATTGCTCAGATCCCTATGTGAAGATTCATCTGATGCAGAATGGCAAACGGCTGAAGAAGAAAAAGACAACAATTAAGAAGAATACTCTGAATCCCTATTATAACGAATCTTTCAGCTTTGAAGTGCCGTTTGAGCAAATCCAGGTAATGTCAAACATCAGCTTTCTGCCTTGCCTTGGAACTCAGTTCCTCAGCCCTTATAAATATTTAACAGGAATCTTGCTAATTATCAAGTATGCATGCCTTCATTAGCACCTATGCAGCAATCCTCCGTGGCCTGAAATTAGTGTTGTTGCTTCAAGAGAAGAATGATAAAATATACAGTACTCAGGACCGGTTGATTTCTTGGCAAAAATATCCCCAAACAAATAACAATCCTTTGATAATATTCAACAGCTGTGAATTTAGAAAAAACTACATGATGAACAAACTGATTGATTGACCGACTGAATGGGATTTAGTCTTATTGCTTTACCCATTTTTTTATATTAAAGATCAGATTTTTCTCATCACACCTATGTTAAATAAAGACAGAGTGGTAATAATATACCAAGTTCCACTGTGAAAATACTTCCATTCATATAAGATATATAGAATTTTAGCTTAATATTTCACTTTTAGCCCTTAACTGCAGGGATGAGTTTTAGCCCATAACTGCACCTCTAGCTTCAGGGTCAACTTTGCAAAAATGCTAGTGTTCAAGCAATGTTACAGCTGCACTGCAAAGAGATGCATCATTAGTACTCCTCTTTATACAAATATAACTTATGAATGCAAAGCTATGTCACTGAGTGCACATTGTAAGATTTGTGGCACCAAAACATAAAAACTGAAGAATAACAAGGATATGACACTATAACTACAATATTGCAGCACTGGTATAATATAAATAAAGAGTATTTGCAGTCGTTTCCAGTATCCACTGTAGTGAGAAATACAAGCAGAAGATTATGCTGTTCAGGTTTAAGAATGCTAGAGATAAGATTCTGGGAATTTCTGGAGGGTCAGCTGTGTTAGAGGGGCAGCAGGGACAGAAGGCAGAGGGCAGCGGGTGCAGCTTTGGAAGCCTGGGATTTTTTTCCTTTGGCTGGAACGGATTAAATGGTTTTCGGTGCATTCCTATAGGAAATGGATCCTCGACCTGCAGCCACCATTCCAATACGGCTTAATTCTGTAAGTCGAGGGTCCACTGTACATCCAAGCATCCAAGCACACATAGGCAAATGATTACATGTAAGGTGTAACAAAAGTCTCCATTTAAATCCAGTGTATTGAAAGCATATACCATTCTGATGGTCCACTATGCTGGTGGGTTTTGTAGCTGGACTCCTAATGTCTCTGCCCGCTCTGTTTATAAGATTTGCAAGTACAGAAAACCATGCCGCTAGCTGTCACAGAATATGTAAGAGTTGAGTAGTAATACAAACCTGGATGGATGAGCTATTTAATGTATAGAATGAATGAATTCTATCCTCATTCAAGCTAAGGAAACATAGAGTTGGATCTTTTGATGGTGTTCTTGTTTAAATATTCCCTTTGGAAGCTGTCTTTTAAGTTCTTTTGTTCAAGGATGGACAACTCAAGGTCAGAGACAGAATGTCCACTGTTTTTTGTTTTTTGAGTATTGCTGTTTCTAATGTCAGGCATGTGTACCTGTAAGCTTCTACATAATAGTAGATCAGTTTATCTTACATGAAATGTTGTGGGACTCTTGAAGTTCAGCTCTACACATCTTTCCCCATACCTTTAATTTAAAGTTAGTACACCTGGGAATTATGGGTTATATGTGAGGAGTCAAATCCATAAAATCAAAACTATAGGGCACATAAACATGCTTTAATTAGGAATCTTCAACAAAGTCAATTTGACACAATGACTAAGTTCAACCCATCAATATTATATGACACAGCTTATGCGTGTCTGCCTAGAAGTTCCTCCATTGTATTCAGTTAGCCTTGCTATCAGAAAACAGTGCATAGAGCTGCAAATTTAAGTGTGTCACTAGAAGTTATAGAATAGAACTTGGCTCTATGTTTGCTCATACATTTGCAGCTGACCTTGTTGGTGTGATCTATAAGATGAACTTCAATTTAGACCCAGGAAACTTGAGTTGACAAAACTGCATGATTCCTCTGCATGACAGTCCTCCAGCAGTGTGAAAAATATAATGTAGAGAGTCAAAGTACTTTGCTAAAAAATGGTAAGTTGTGTTTTTTAAGTGGAAGGGGGATCACGCAGAACCAGAGGCACTGTGCCTCAGTAGAGCTCCAGTCATAGAAGATGCTTCCTCTCAGTTTTTAGGGACTCCTGCATTTTCTATAAAATAGCACAACCTGCCTCCCTGAACACCAAGCATCCATGTAGAGTTTAGAAGGATGCCACGGCAAGGAGGGGACAAGGAACACAACTTCAGCCAGTCCAATTGCACACCTCAAGTTGGGTTCCAGCCCTCTGGTTTTGTGATGAGGCTTGTGTTGAGGCTGTTTTTTCTTACTTCTGTCTCTCTAATGCTCTTTTAGAAAGTGCAAGTTGTTGTGACTGTTTTGGACTATGACAAGATTGGCAAGAATGATGCCATCGGGAAAGTATTTGTGGGCTACAACAGCACCGGCGCGGAGCTGCGACATTGGTCAGACATGTTGGCCAACCCAAGGCGACCCATTGCTCAGTGGCACACCTTACAGCCAGAGGAAGAGGTAGACGCCATGCTCGCCGTCAAGAAGTAAAGAGGAAATGGAATGAGAAAAGAAGCCTTTCTGCATTTGCCCATATAGTGCTCTTTAGCCAGTATCTGTAAATACCTCAGTAATATGGGTCCGTTTATTTCCAGCCATGCATCCCTAACACAGATCAGTGGTACTTCAAATCTTGTTTTATTTGCACAACTTTAAATGTAGAAAGCCCTATAAGGTCCTCCATCTCACCACTGCCCTCAGATCTACTTCTTCTTTTAAGCAATATGTGTAGATAGAGCATGACAGAAATTATTTATTGTATCACACAGTTGTACATACCAGTATGCTAAAAATTTATTTCTAGTCTGTTTCTTTGTATGTTGTAAGCGTTTCCTAATCTGTGTATATCTAGATGTTTTTAATAAGATGTTATATTTTAAATTATGTAAATTGACTGAGATATAGGAGAGCTGATAATATATTATTGGGTATCTATCGTATCGTCTGCATTCCAGCAAAAATTCCAACTTGTAAGGCACTAGTAGTGTTACACTGACATCTTAAAGGACAACTTAAATCTGAGCTTTCAACTGAATCATTACAATACCAAAATATGCTCACACGGCGCTCCTGGAAGGGGTGAATCCCACTGGTAGTTCTCTCTTGTGGGCAACTTAGCATGATCTGAGCAGCTCCACAGCTGACCTCAAGGAAGCGTAGCCAAAAGCCAGTATGTCATTTTTTTTCCTGTGTATATATAAAAACAAAAGCAAAGCATGGCTTTTCACTTAGACGTTAAAGGCGCAATTCCTTGGGGAGGGAGCATGAATACATAGCAACGTATAAATTGGGGAGGGGACAAATCAAAAGGTTTGGGATGCAGTAGTAGCAAACCCCTGCAACTTACCATGGCAAACACATACCTAAAACCCGGTAGCTCTCCGTTATCAGCTTTATACAAAATTTACATACTGTGAATCCCATTTGTGATTTCACATTCTCTAATTCTAATGAGTTTGCACATTAGACTTTGTAACAAAATATTTTATTATACTAAGCCAGATGAGAAGGAATGCAGAAATATTTTTTAAAACAAAAATCACAGCCGTGTGTGTTTATTATACAAAAGTAGTTTCATGGTGATGAGACAGTATTGTAAAATCCCATCAAAAGATGACAAAAAATTTAGCCATATTTCTGAATGCACTTCAAAGCAAGCCAAAAGATAACAGCTAGTGACCTTTTATATACTATTTATACGTAATAAGTTTTAATTTGTCCTTTAAAAAAAGTGAAACAAAACAAAGAACAAGTTCTAGCAAACTGAAGCAACCTCTTATGTACACTAGATGCTCGTTTCAGGAGGAGTTTTTAAATGTTTTCAATGTTACTATGTAGTAAATGGCACTATTATGAAGCTATTAGTCATTCCATAAGCGTCTTAAAAGACTGCTCTGTGTATCACTGTGAATGCCGTGTGTGCTTAGAAACTGTAGTTTTCTCAGTGGATAGCAATCAATTTATTCCGTAGTGATATTGTAAAAATACTGCCATTCCCTTCTACTGCACTGCCGAAGGAGTGCATAGCACAAGTAGTTCTCATACTTATGGACCAATTCAGAACTGGAGAGCTATGCATAGGACAAGGGCATCATATAGAACAGACTGACCACACAGCATTTTGTCAACACTGTGCAATATTTCTCATCTCCCTATTTTGATAGTAAAGGGCTGCCCGAGAGATAAGGCAGCCCATCCTTTCATAGTATATCATTTTTCTGTGTCATGTGCGGGCATTACTCGTTCAAGCCTCCTCCTTGGAGACTACATTCATAATTAATGTATTTTATTTATTTATTTATTTATTTATTTACTTGCTTGCTTAAAAGGCTGTGAATTCATTGTAATATATTGGAAATACTGAATCTGTTTTCGTTATCACCCAGAACCAAAAATGCAAAGAAAATATTTTCTGTCCCCCACAAAGCATCCTTTGGTAGGAAAATTGAGATTGCTCTAGAAGTAAATTTGATGATGCAAGACTATTATTTGAAACCCCAGAAATATCAACTAACCATGTTGGAATAATGAATTTCCTTTCTCAGAGCTGTGCATCTGCACTTTGCCCCGACAAGTGGAAAAGTTTTAAAATGTCACAAATGGAACTTGTGGCAACAAATTTCTGCTTTCTACGTAGCATCCTGAAACACAGGTTGTGACACCTATCAGGTCTTTCTATTTTCTATACTATCAGAAAGGGCAAATTAAGTCAGAGACACCGAGGTGTATATAAGCAAATCCAACAAGAATGGTACATATTTTTTTCAAGGACTAAATCTCACCAAAGACACGAACTAAACACAGGCATGCAGCCTATGAGGGAAGACTGTCAGGTCTAGCGTACAATCCTTTAGTTCATCATCCTTACAGGGACAAAGCAAACAAACATAAAGACCACATCTTGAAATGTATATGTTGAAACTGCCAGAACAGATTCATTGTGTTAAGATATTCTTAATACATTATCTTTTTACACTGCCAGACTGAATATCACCACAGAACTGGTTGGCAATGTGTGATGATTCTCAAACAGGAGATCTGTTATTTGACCAAGCTGACATTTCATCCTCAAAGAAGCCACATGTACCTTCCTGACAAAGCTGTGTAAAAGTATTAGAATCTGATGCTGTAGAAAGATCCTAGTTGCCTTTGTGTATATTTACTGCCTGCTTGAGTGTTTCTATGTGTGGGTTTTTCTCTGTATCTCGTAGAAACGTTTGGGGTGTTCTATCCTGCCATATTGCTCGTGGCCCGCGAGCTGACAAGTTTAGCTGTACTTAACATTCAGTTTTGATGAGGTGGTTTATATTTTGTTTCACTTTTGTGTAGTGAATCCCACAGTAGATTTTTCCAGGTGTCGTTAAAATAAAACATACATATTACACAGATATTCAATAAAAATGTTTTATTTCCTGTTGATGTCCGGAGTATTTTTCTTTTTTCTTGCTTGGTTTATTAACTGATCGGGCAGAAGAACCCCTCATCAATGCACCAGTTACATGATCTGTAACTCCAGAAACCATTCTTCCTATCCAGCAGCTCCAGTGGACACTCATTGCCAGTGATGTACAAATAAAGTACCACAATTTTGCTTAAACATGTTGAGAAATATTCCATGGGTACAGTAGAGATGCCCATTTTTATGCTGATTCAGGCAGGGATGTGAATGAAAGAGAAACTTGGAAGAACAGCAGTGGTCTTGTTCCCATGTTTCTCTTCCATTTATGTTCCTACCTGAATGAACTCATGAAACACACTCCAGTCAAACATTTGAAGATACTCTTTATCAACTGTTTCTAAAGCTGAAGAAAATATGTGTTCATTCCTTGTCTTATCTCTGTTCATCAAAACAGGTGGCCATTGCAGACAGTGTCTTAATGGAGTTGCCCAACTAAAACTTCTAAGTGCAGATTATGAGCAACTTAATGTGCAAAGAGATGCTGTGTGTGCCAGAGGTACACAACATGGTGCCTGCAATATGTTTTGGACTATGTAACATATATAGCCTCAGCCATCATAGCCAAGGAGCAGGAATGAGAACTCTAGTCTAAAACCTGCAGACCTTTCTCTTTCCCTGGGATATTGAGCACACCAATCAGCTGAATGAGATGACAGAATAAAAGTATTAGTTCATCTGTACCAGAAATTCACCAATGTAGCATGCTCATTTGTTGTTGTTGTTGAGAAACATACCTTCCCATCTTTCCTTTAGTACTCCAACCCCTATTTAAGAAAACAGTTTCATATAAAGGTGGTGAGTCATTTTAACAGATTAGTACATGACCTTAAATGTAACTGTGCTGGTTTCCAATCATAAAAAGTTAATAAAAATGTAACCATACCTTAAGAAACAGGAGGAAAAAGTGAATTTAATGTGGAGTTTAATAAAAATCTCAGAGTTGTACACTCACCTTGGAGTTTCTTTTGCACCTTCCCTCCCAACATCCTTAGTTTGGGAGCCAGTGGTCTCTCCCAAAATGCAGGAGCTTTGCATGCAGGAAGATTTTTTAAGAGTTCTGCTTCCCAGTACAGCAGTGGGGACTCCTTGTATGTACAACCCCTTTTTAAAAGGTAACATTGCTTCTATCAGCTGATTGGGAAACAAGCTTGACTTCTGAATTAAGCCTCTACCTCAACCACTTACAATCAATCAATCAATTAATCCAATTAAAATTTGTAAAGGAGGACTCAATTCAGATGTATTGGTTGCTGTACCTGCACCCAGCAGAACCAAAGCTTGTCACCATGCCAGTTTTTACTTGCACCTTGTTGAGTCCTTTCTGAAAAAGTTTAGTTGCTATTAATTTTATAGTGGGAGGAGAGAGAAATAGATCAAACATTTCAGTGTTCCTGTTTACAGTCGTGCCCCGCTTAATGATTACCCTGTATAACGATGAATCCGCTTCACGGCGATGTTTTTGCGATTGCAATTGCGATAGCAAAACAATGTTTTAAATGGGTTTTTTGCTTTGCAAATATTGGTTCCCTACTTCGGGAACCGATTCTTCGCATTATGACGATCGAAACAGCTGATTGTCAGGTTTTTAAAATGGCCACCGGGTGCTCAAAATGGCTCCCCGCTGTGTTTTTGGATGGATTTCTCGCTCTACAGGCACCGAAAATGGCCGCCCCATGGAGGATCTTCGCTGGATGGTGAGTTTTTCAGCCCATTGGAATGCATTTAATGGTTTTCAATGCATTTCAGTGGGCTTTTTAATTTCGCTTTACGACGTTTTCACTCTACAGCGATTTCGCTGGAACGAATTGTTGTTAAGCAAGGCACCACTCTAGTTTTCTAATCCAGTGTTGAAAGGCAATTTGATCACGATTCTGGATAAATGATGTACTGAATCTGAACACAAGATGATCACCTCTCAGATCATACTAAGAATTTTAAACTGCTTTTTTATTTATCTCACTGACCTCAAGAAACCTTCTAAGGAAATGCACTTCATATTGTAGACTAAATAAATATTTTAAAGCTACAGGGCAAAGTAGAGTAGCTTCCACCTCTGTACACCGTGAGTGCTTGGGCCAGACTTGAGTTTTGGCATATACAGATGTGGTGCATGTCATCCCGTCTCAGAGATATGATGTCCTTTTCTTCAAGGTGTTTTGTGATGCAGCAACAGAAGCATTTTTAGTATTGGCCTAGTAAAATATTATTCCCATGATGGCATGCAAAAAGTCCATAACAATTACACCAGATTAAGCCCAATTTCTGTTTCTGGCATGGATTAATAATCAGAATCTCCCCTCCCAGCACCACATTCACAGGTATATTTGTTTGGAAATATGTCTTTTCTCATAGGCTTCAATCACATTTTCAAGTGATGGATTTTGATGCTATAAGCTGTATTAGTACTTCTGTGTTTAGAATTGTAACCGAAGAATCTCAGCTAAAATGTATTGCCCTCAGTTTTACAAACAGACTCTTCTCAGTGTGATCATACAGCATATTGTTTGTAGATTTCAAATAAGAAATAATAGGTACAATTACCAATGCATTGTTTTGCTAGTTTCTGAGTAATGTATTAACTTTTTTAATATTTTATTTTAGCAAGGCCAGGACATTTTGTTCCTGCAACTGTTCAGTATATTTAGCTGGCAGGAAAATAATCAACACCCTTCCTAGAAAGCTTGACACCTTTCTTGCATTAAAAATTAAATACAATAAAGGGCACCGGAGCAAGCAATGGAGATTTGATTTGTGTAGCGTTAACTGCCCTGATGTCAAATAAATATTCCCTTTATTATAATGAAACAAGGTAATCATCTCTGTTATCTATAATCCATTTGTTTGAAGTGGCTCAAGAGGGGAAAAATGAGATGAGCCCAGCTTAAGTTCTCAGTATGAAATTTCTGGTCATGCTCTTCTGTAGTCTGAACAGCTCTGAAGGAAAGCCAAGAAATAAGGTGAGGGAACTTGTGGGTTGCACATTCAATCTTTCATCTTTTTCCTCTTCCACTATATTAGTGAAGGACCACAGCATAGGAATTCTTCCCCATCCTATGCCACCTATCACTAAGGTCTGCCTGGTGACACCCTCCTCTTCCTCTCCTTTCCTCCAGTTCTAGCCCACCTTTATCCATATGCTCCATTGATCCTACCTCTTTCTCAGTACTGCTTACTATATTCTCTTACTATATTATCCATCATCACTCTGCTATCTAGTTCTACTTCCTTCCTATTAGACCTTAGGGAAAATCTCATGTAGAATACACAAACGCACGCAAATAAATGAAGCTATGAATTTAGGATGGAACTTTCCCTCCAAACCCATGACAGACAGGTAACATCAGTGCTGTTATGTAACAAGCTGTATTAGTACTTCTGTGTTTAGAATTGTAACCGAAGAATCTCAGCTAAAATGTATTGCCCTCAGTTTTACAAACAGACTCTTCTCAGTGTGATCATACAGCATATTGTTTGTAGATTTCAAATAAGAAATAATAGGTACAATTACCAATGCATTGTTTTGCTAGTTTCTGAGTAATGTATTAACTTTTTTAATATTTTATTTTAGCAAGGCCAGGACATTTTGTTCCTGCAACTGTTCAGTATATTTAGCTGGCAGGAAAATAATCAACACCCTTCCTAGAAAGCTTGACACCTTTCTTGCATTAAAAATTAAATACAATAAAGGGCACCGGAGCAAGCAATGGAGATTTGATTTGTGTAGCGTTAACTGCCCTGATGTCAAATAAATATTCCCTTTATTATAATGAAACAAGGTAATCATCTCTGTTATCTATAATCCATTTGTTTGAAGTGGCTCAAGAGGGGAAAAATGAGATGAGCCCAGCTTAAGTTCTCAGTATAAAATTTCTGGTCATGCTCTTCTGTAGTCTGAACAGCTCTGAAGGAAAGCCAAGAAATAAGGTGAGGGAAGTTGTGGGTTACACATTCAATCTTTCATCTTTTTCCTCTTCCACTATATTAGTGAAGGACCACAGCATAGGAATTCTTCCCCATCCTATGCCACCTATCACTAAGGTCTGCCTGGTGACACCCTTCTCTTCCTCTCCTTTCCTCCAGTTCTAGCCCACCTTTATCCATATGCTCCATTGATCCTACCTCTTTCTCAGTACTGCTTACTATATTCTCTTACTATATTATCCATCATCACTCTGCTATCTAGTTCTACTTCCTTCCTATTAGACCTTAGGGAAAATCTCATGTAGAATACACAAACGCACGCAAATAAATGAAGCTATGAATTATTTGCTCTACAAGAAAGAACATGCACGTAAGCTTAAGCCACAGAGCCTAGTACTGTATAGCCTGTTAAAAATATGAGGTTTTGGTAAAACTAGCAGAGTTTGAGGAAGCAGTTTAGTTTTTACTGTATGTAAGTTCAACTTATGTTCAAGGACGTAACTTACGGAGGCATCTTTTCTGAAAGAACATCCTCTAGAAGCTCACACAGAAAGCTCCTTGCTATTTTCAAACACAGGGAGAGAGAATGGAAGAAGGCAAAGGAGCAAAGAGGAGACTGATGGTATGTCTAGACTGGCCCTTTTGGTGTAGCCAAGTGCAAGCTAAATAGGGTCAACTGAGGTTGGGAGGGAGGAGCAGTATGCCATTTGGTGCAATTCTCATATCCAAATGGCGCATTGACCTCAAGTCATATTTGGCGGAACGCGTCCTCCCACCAAGGTCTACCCGGATCACCCGCGCAAGTCAGGAGGTGAGGCTGAGGAGCCTGACGCTGAGAGAGGCCCGGAAGGAGAAGACACGAAACTGGGCCTTCTCGGCGGTGGCTCCTGGCCTCTGGAACAATCTCCCTCCGGCAATTCGCGCGGCCCCCCCGCTGGGCACCTTTAAAACCCAATTTAAAACATGGCTGTTTATTCAGGCCTTCCCTCCAGCCAACTCTTGATTTTTTC